TCAGGAAGTGGGTGGGGGTTTGGTTTGGGTATAATCCGTGGTAGGAAAGAGGGAGGGAGGAATCCCCCCCCCCCCCCCTGACCTCCCCCCCTCCTTGTTCCCTCTTTTCCTCTTCCGCCTTGCTCCTTTCATCGTCCGTCTTGATTCTCTCTGCTGCGCGACGACCAGGATATATAATTTTCGTGAACGGCAGGTGAGAGAGCAGTTTTTCTTTTTTGGCAGTGGATTCGGACGGGGGTGATCGCATGTTGTGCCACAGGATACCCTGTGTGTATCTCTATCCATTGTTAGCATCGACAGCGCTAACCGGCTGACCATTTGTTGTGCGTGCATGTATGTGTTTTCTGTGCGAACGCTTGCGATGCCGGGATCTTCCCGGCACACAAGGAGGTGGCCCCAGATCAAACGCAACCAAACCCACCAAAGAACCCGTACTCTCTCTCTCCTCTCATACACGTCGCAACCCCAGGGAGCAGCTCGGAAGCAATCGCTACCTGCTTTCCGATGGGCTCTACATCGCCAAGACTCTCAATCGCACCTTGGTCGAATTCCCCGTGGCGAACGCGAGAATATCGCGGGCCGACTCCGACCTGGGTTTCGGCGCGTACTGGGACTTGGACAGCTTGTGTCAGTGAGTGCAAGAAGTGGTCGTTGAAGGATTCAGCTTCCTCCCGCTCTTCTGTCCGGCGTCGTGGTGTTGGCTTTCGCCTTCGTTATCGCATGATGATGAGCACTTCTCCATGTTGCAGAGAATCACTGCTAAGATACTACAAGATACACACAGCGGGTATACTCCCCGTGATGCGCAAAGCGCACCCACCATTGTGATGCGCGAGCTTTTGGAGCGCACCGGCTGATCCCGCCGAAGTCGGGACGTCGCCTCCCAGTGGGCACCGCTCCAGAGCTCGCCAGCTAAGGAGACAGCTTCAATTTCTACGCGTCTTCTCCCATCCTCCGCAAGGGGTAGCGGTTGATCCCCACCCACCCCCAAGTAGGAAGGAGCGATTGGCCATCGGTGACCGATCCTGTTGGAACAATGCTCCCTGCTCTCGATGATGCACGCGTGGTCAATGGTCTAACAAACTAAGGCATGCGAAACATGAGTACCCCTCCCCCCCCCCCCCCCCCCCGCTTTGGGTAAATTAAAAGGAACCTTCGAATCCCCGGGTTGGGGCGGTTTCCTTCTTTAATCAGGGCCGGCCTCTCCAATTTCAAAAATTTTTTGGTCTGAACCCCGGTCCCCCCAACGCAAAACCCAAGTTCCCCTTTAAGAACGGGAAAGAAGTTCCAAAAACCCTTCGGGGGTACCAAAAAAGCCCGGGAAAAAGGGATGAACACCTATTGCCCCCCAAAAATTGGGAACGGCCCCAAAACCTCCCCCTGGAAACCCTGGAACAAATCCCAAAAAAAAACTTCTTTTCCAAACTTCCTTTGGAAAATTGGAAAAAAAATTCCGGGACTTCTCTTTGGAAAATCCCCCCCTGGCCAACCCC